GTTCTCACCTTCCTGGACTCCATTCTCCATGTTGCAGCCAGAAGACTTTTCTATCAAGAATGCTTGCCAAACTCCTGCTCAGGCTAAGTCAATGGCTGCTCAGTGTTCTGATTGTCTTAGAAGAGCTACGTGGTGTGGCTTTGGCCTGCCTCCATAGGCTCATCGCCTGCTCCTCCCTTTTCTACCATGCCTCTATCACCTTGACCTTCATTTGGTTCCACCTACCAAACGGTTTCCTTGCCCCTCTGTTAGGAACAGAAGGACACTCTCTAGTCCTCTCACATCATCTACTTTTCCTTCCTATATCAGCCCAATAATAATCCTTATTTCAGCGGTGCCTTCCTTATCAAAAGAGAAAGAGAGAAACACGCATAGCCATGGGTCAGTCCATGGTTTCTTTTCATGCTGAGGTCACTTATCCATAAACAACACATTATTTTCAAATTAATGTTAGATCATTTAGACAGATCTGGAAGTTAAAGCTCTTTATATTGTTGAGATTAAAGGAGTGCTAAAAACTCATGTTTGTAATAGTCTCTTTTCTGTTGCTGTGAAAAAAACACCATGGTCAAGGCAACTTAAGAAGGAAGATTTTATTTGACTTACAGGTCTTATAGCTCTATAGGCTTATAGAGGGATACGAGTCCATGAAGTCAGGGAGGCACGGTGGCAGAGGCAGGCAGAGCAGGAAGCTGAGAGTTCATATCTTCAAGCATGCACAGGATGCAGAGACACCACAAAGAGGAAGTGGCAAGGCTATGAACTCTCGAGGCCTACCTCCAGTGACGCGCTTCCTCCAGCAAGTCTGTACCTTCTAAACCTCCACAAACAGTGTCACCAGCTGGGCCAAGCGTTCAAATACTTGGAGCCTGGAAGCGACATTTTTCATCCAAACTACCCTAGTGTTACAAGCACATTTTAAAATGAGGACTCGAGGCTATAAGGGACATGTGTTCCAGCCATTCATGTGAAATTTGAATCTTCTCTATGAAAAGACAAAGTACTTATTTTATTTGAAACGTTCTTCCATATTTCATCATAATCCAACCAATTATAAGTGCCTTGGATTTTTCTTTCATTCTAAGTATATTTATCCATCTCAATAAATTAGATTTATATCAAATGTAATACTGAAGGCCTGCAGCAATAATTCCTAGTATTGAAATAGGTGAGTATATTTCCCTTATCCAACAATATGGCTTTCTATTGGGAAAGTAAAGGTAGTTTCTTCTTAAAAATTCCATTCTGGGGCTGGAGAGATGGCTCAGTGGTTAGGAGCACTGACTGCTCTTGCAGAGGACCTGGGTTTGATTCCCAGCACCCACATGGCTGCTAACAACTGTTCATAACTCCAGTTCCAAGGGATTGAGTGCCCTCTTCTGACCTCCACAGGCATTGCATGACAGGGGTGCACTTATATACATACAGGCAATACACTCAAACACATAAAATAAAAAAATAATAAATCGAACATTAAAAAATAAACATGCTAACTAAACAGGACATTTATATTAACCCCATCACCACCACCACCAGGGCTCAGGGACCATCTCAGAAGAGGAGGCAGAAAGAATGTAAGAGCCAGGGGTTGGAGAGGAGTGCTGTGCAATGCTGTCTTCAGGACATGGTAGGACTGCCACTATTGTAAACTCACAGTAGCCGTGCTTACCTGCACAAGATCAAGCCAGCCAAAATCCCAACATAAATGGAATAGATGATCTCTAAGTCCCAACCCTTACTGAGGAGCTATTGGCCATAGTTTCTGGGGAAGGAAGAATCATCCTTTTTAAAGATGTGGCCACAGATAGGTTGCCCACACTCCAGTGGATGGCCTCACATCCATGCTCATATGGGCAGCAGTAAATGGACTTAGTGGGTTATCAAAAAAGCATGGAGTAGGGAGGGGGAGTATTGGGGAAGATAAAGGAGGAGGTATAAAAATAAAATAAAATCATATTTTATTAAACACATGTATGAAATTCTCAAAAATAAAGAAATAAGTTTAAGTCTATGCTAAGGGGGCTGGAGAGATGACTTCATGTTTTCATGATTTCATTAAGAGCACTTGGTGTTCTTGCAGAGGATGGGAGTTTGGTTTCCTGAACCCATGGTGAGCAGCTCACAACCACCTGTAGCTCAAGTTCCAGAGGAATCTGATGACCTCTTCTGGCCTCTGCAGGCACCTGCACCCACATGTACACACACACACACACACACACACACACACACACACAAATAAATAAATAAATCTTTTTTTAAATTCCACACTAAGAACTAATGGTAGAAATTTTATTTTTAATGTCTAGATGAACATCCTCCTCACCACCACCTAACCACCATTAGCTATCAAAAAGAGGTGTTCAACAGAGAGATTGTTAAGTACTAAAATGAATAGCCACCAAAAGTTTGTGACATTTATGCTATTATCCAACAGATATTCATTGAGCATTTAGTCCTTCACAGCAGGTGTGCACTGAATGTCTTTCCTATGAGAAACATTGTACTTGGTCCTGGATATGCAATGATCAACAAAGCTGATACCGTTCTTGCCCTAATGAACCTGGAGGGCAGTGAAGGAGATACCATAAAACTGGAAAACTAAAAACTACTATTCCATTACAAATTATGATGTGGGGGCTGGAGAGATGGCTCAGTGGTTAAGAACACTGGCTGCTCTTGCAGGGACCTGGTTTGATTCCTAGCACCCACATGGCAGCTAACAACCATCTGTAACTCCAGTTCCAGGGGAATTCAATGCCTTCTTCTGACTTCTGCAAGTATTACATGACATGGGTGCACTTACACACATGCAGGCAATACACTCACACACATAAAAGATAAAATAAATAGCTGGGCATGGTAGTGCATGCCTTTAGGCCCAGCACTTAGGAGGCAGAGGCAGGTGGATCTCTGTGAGTTTGAGGCCAGCTTTGACTACATAGCCAGTTCCAAGCCAGCTGGGACTACAGGGAGACCCTATCTCAAAAAAGACCAAAAAATAAAAAGTAAAAAAAATATTTTTAAAACAAATTATGATGTGTTATATTTGTGCACATATGTATATATGTTCATGTGTGCAGGTACACATGTGTATGGATATATGTGCACAAATATGGAAGTCAGAAGACAATCTTTGGTGTTGTTCCCAAGCACAGACTCCACTGCTTTTTGAAACAGAGTTTCTCATTGGCCTAGATCTTGCCAAATAGCCTAGGTTGGACAGCCAGTGAGCCCAAGAGATCCACCTGTCTTCACCTCCCCAGTGCTGGGATTGCAAAGGTGAGCCACCACACCCATGTTTTTTTCACAAATGCTGAGATCCGATGCGTGGCCTAATGCTTGCACGGCATGCACTCTGCTAATGGAGCCGTCTCTGCAGCTCACAGCATTCTTTGTTAAAGGAAGAAGCAAGGGAAAGGATACATTGATGGCACTAAGAGAACCTGGGTGAGCCTAAAGCAGATGATGTGGATAGCAGGTGGTCAAACTATGAGAGTCTTTGCATGTCATCATAAGGGCTTTAAGTATCAAGTCAATAAAGGCTGTGAAGGGTTTAGGCCGAGAAGTGACGTAATCAGAATCTTATAAAACATAAAGCTGAACATGTCATCACTCAGGCAGGAATTGATTCTCTGTTAGGGACAGTTCTATGTTCTATGTCAAATATTCCTCTATCAGCAGTACCGAAAGCACATCCTTTACCTGAGACTCTATAAAGTAACGACTGTAATTAGTGCTGCTGGGATGGAACCTTGAGAAGGAACGCACTAATTACAAATAATTAATTTCAGTACCACAATGTGCAAAATGCATCTATTTTTTTATTATTATTATTCACAGCAACTTAAATGAAACATATGGCTGTGACCGCTACTACCTCAGTCAAGCTCTGCCAAAGAGGCATCTGCCCGGTCTCCCTCATGGTTCATCTTCTGACATTTGGAGCATTTTCCCATTCTGGTTGTAGTCCAATCTGGACTTGGTTCTGTGTCAATGTGCTCACTTCCTTATAGCAAAGAAGGCATGTTACACAGGGGTGCTCCATCCCCATCTCTGGGTCTCCAAGTCAAGATTTCAGCCGTTTTCTGCCCTGTCTATAATTGGAACCACACATAACAAATTCCAGAGAGCACACAGTCAGTTCCACTCCAAATATAAGATGCAACACCAAACTGACAAAAGCCCGCTCAAATTTCACTGCAGAAATGGCATTGAGGCTGCCAGGGAATGATTGCGGCAATTAGGTTGGGATAACTGAGGTGTTTAAAAAGAAAAATAGTTACTTCTAGGATAATTGTTTTCTTGTCAGCCATTGTGAAGTCAGCCATTCAAGGTAGAAAAAAATACAAGTATGTGCAAAAAAAAAAAAGACAACATATAAAAGGTCTAGTTGCATAGAAACAGATTCACTTAGGAAAAGCAAAGTTGGTGGGCAGGCATCGAGCAGATATTACTGGACCCTTAGTAAGGAGATGAGGAGTTTGGAGCAGGACTTAGAATAGTAAGGGTGATTAAAAAATTGTTACTGAATGGTAGACTGACCTCTGGTGAAGACTTTAGAAGGATGTTGTCATCACAGCTCTACCACTGTACGATTTGATCAAGTATTTTCATTTTTATTTCATTTTATCCCTTCTATAATCAAAGCTGATGTCTTTCTTATTTTTTGATTGGTTTGTGTCTTTGGGCCCCTCTCCCATTCAACAAAGGATTTAAGCAAAGAAGATATGTCTTCTGGCACTAACATTCACCGAATACATTTACCCAAGTTGCTTCGGGAGCAAACATTTGGTAACTATATCAATCAAAACCCCTCCCAACTAATGGACCACCAAAGATAAGAAATATTGATAAATGAACACAGGAACTTACTACCATCCATAGGCAGTTATTTTGTGTCCATATACCTCATACTATGAAATTATAGAGCTGATGTTCAAGTAAATGGTATCTAGAATTTCTCAACTGAGAAACTGGGCAAACCACAGGCACTCAGGCGAAGATGTTCGTGTGCTTGATGTCAATGGTACTTGCCCAGCAGTTTCTTCACAGCATCTTTTACTTCTTTGTTTCTTAAACTGTAGATTATGGGGTTCAACATAGGGGTAAGCACTCCATAAAGTAGCGAGATGATTTTGTCTATTTCTTGTGAGTTTGACAAGGAGGGTTTCAGGTACATGGAGAGGGCAGCCCCATAATATAAGATCACCACAGTCAAGTGTGCACCACAAGTAGAAAAAGCTTTCTTTCTTCCCTCTGCTGAGCTGATTCTCAGAATAGTAGACAGGATGAAGGCGTAAGAGACGCAAATCAAGAGCATGGGAATGGGCAGGAGGAGGATGCTGACCACCAGCATAACCATGTCCATGAGAAGTGAGCTCGTGCAAGCTAATTTTAACACTGCCAGAATTTCACATGTGAAGTGATCGATGAGATTCCCACAGAATGGAATCTGCAGGGCAAAACTGGTTTCCAGCAGGGCGGTCAGACAGCCTGTTACCCAGGAGACAGTGGCCATCTGCACACAGACTTGCCTGTTCATGATGATGGGGTACCTCAGTGGGTTGCAGATGGCTACGTAACGGTCATAGGCCATGACAGCCAGAAGCACACACTCTGTGGAGCCCATGGAAAGGGACAGGTACATCTGTACAGCACACCCAGAGAAGATAATGGTTTTCTGGGATGACAGCAAGTTCACCAGCAAAGTAGGAATAGAAGCAGATGTGTAACAGATATCCATGAAGGAGAGGTTTCCAAGGAACAAGTACATGGGGGTTTGAAGGCGTGAATCCAGGACAGAGATTAAAATAAGAGTGCTATTACCCAGGAGGGTAACCAGATACATTACAAGGCTGATGACAAACAGAACAATCTCTAACCTTGGGTACTGGGAAAATCCCTCCAGGATAAAAATTCTCCAAACAGTGAAATTTTCTCCTTGCATTTCCTTTATTCAGATGTGATTATTCTAGTAACATTCTCTTCATTTCATCTGAAGATATAAATAAATGTAATGTTCATTTAATTAATAAAGTACTCTCGAACTTTTTTCACCATTATAAGCACAATTGATTTGTCTATAAACACAATTTTACCAAAAAATGCAAGATAGTGTATTTATTAACCTAAGGAGAAAAAGCATATTTGATCTATTCGATTATCCCACAACAGAATTTAGGAAACAATGAATCAGAAAAAGGCAAGCCAATTTAATATTTTAATATTGCCTCACAATCTTATCCTTGACATGGTAGGTTTTCATTAAAAGTGTATAAGTGCTGGACATGGTGGCAGATGTCTTTGACACCAGCATTCAAGAAGCAAAGGCAGGAAAATTTCTGTGAATTCGAGGCCAACCTCTACATAGCAAGTTCCAGGCCAGCCAGGGCAACATAGTAAGACCCTGTCTCAAAAAAAAAAAAAATTCTTTTTAACACGACCAATTGGAGAAAAACACAAATGAGCACAGAATAGATTATGGAACACAAATTAGAAAAGTAGGCCACATAAGAGATGGAGTGACAGTTCACAGTAAAGAATCAAAGTTGTTTTTCAGTCGAAGAGGAAGAATGAATGGTGACAGAGATGAATTAATTTTAACACAACACCTCTGAAGTTCTGGTTTAAATGAACCCTGTCCTTTCTAACTAAAAGCTTATATAACTCATTTCCAAAAGGATGACATTATTTAAAGCATTGTGGTGACATTTATGGACCAGGACCATTTTATAAGTCAAGCAAAATAACTCACCTTGTTTAATCACTGGTATAGTTACTGTATAGTTTCATTCACTATTGAACTCCATACTTCACATTTAAAGAGTTCTAAAAGTTCTACTCAGTAATACCTTTATTATATACTGACACACATGACTATCCAGAAAATTCAGACATAAAAGTCCCTTACAAAATTTTCTTAAGGTTTCTTTGAACATAGGATTAAAGATCATATAGTTATAAAAAAGACACTTAAGATTTTATTTTTTCCATGTCACCTTAGCAAAAATTATTACAGGAAGCTAACCTTGCTTTTGCACTGATGTTGCTGGTCTATCACCTTCAAACTTTTTCTTTCCCTCTGATGCTTTCAGATCTTTGCAACACGTCTTAAGAATTCCCTTTGTTGTGCACTCGCCCGCACGCTGCTGTCCTCTTTGCTCTTTCTTTCAGAGAAAAGTTCACCCATCAGGTGGTTAATGTTCCAATATCTCGGTCTTCACGTTCTCATCACAGGAATCCTTTCCCTGTTTCTCTGCTCCAGCCACTGCCATCAGTCTCCCAGTTCTCCACACTGATGTCGACAGAGATGAGGAAAACAGCAACGATGTGACATCTTGCTTTCGTGACGGCAGAGACACCCAGATTTTCAGACTGTTTCCATTACAGCACATTAGCTTTGCCTTTCCCTCCGTTATTTTTTGTTTCTGCCCCATTAACAAGTCCTTTCCATTATTTTGCGTTTTACTCACTAGTTTCCAATCAGCTTGCATTGCAGGTCCAATCTTTATCAGTCCCAGGGAATATAATAACCTTAGCGTACCAGAAAATATTGCTCAGATCCCCCCACAGTGACCAATCATACAATTTTTGCTTGTCTTCTTAAGAGTTCCCATTTTCTTCCATTAACAATAGTTTATTCTTAATCATTTATTAGTCAATACATTACTTCTTACAAATTTCTCTGAATGATTTTATATTTAATAAAATCTTTGCCAAATAAATAGGTTATTATTATAAAAGATTACCTTGAAGAAAAAAATATTCTATTGTTAAGACTGAAATCAGCTTGAAATTGTATATTTTCTGTGGCATAAAAATAGCCAAGAAAAATTGGTCATTTCACTTGAATTTCATATTATAAATTCTAAATAAAATAATATTTTGTGATATAGTCCATAAAGTTAGTTATTACAAGAAACAATAAGTACATCCAGGTTTTTAAAATGTGAAATGCTACAGAAAATCAACTGTGTAATTCATTTCTTTCCAAATTAGCAGCTGTTATAAACATAACTAAAAGTACCAAAGGACCACACCTGAAATACTATGTAAATTTAAGTTATTTGTCATTTGAGGGAATACTTGCTGTCCCTGAACAATTTAAAGTTCAGCATCTATAATATACAGAAGTTTGAAACTTTACATCCTTTAGGGATAAAGTCCCAAAGATCCAATTATAGCAAACTTTTAAAGATTCAAAAAATGAACCACAGGGCCTCCCCAATATTTGCAAAGATCTCATAAAAACAGTTTTGGCCAGGCGTGATGGCATATGCTTTTAGTCCAGCACTTGGGAGGCAGAGGCAGGTAGATCTCTGTGAGTTCAAAGCCAGCCTGGTCTACATAGTGTGTTCCAGGACAGCTGGGGAGACCCTGTCTCAAAAAAACAAAAAAAAAAATTGTGTTCCCACTTCTCCATCAATCCCTAGCTATGTGAAAGCTTTTCTGTAAATTATTGTAGTATAGAACACTCAACAGAGCACAGAGAAAAGATGTCCCTAGGCCTCTAAGAAATATGAGTTTCTCATTTGGGAAATTACTTACTAGTTTTCAGAAATTAAGGAAAAAAATGTTTATCTTTTAAAGCATAAATGAACCACCAAATGTCTCAACAAGTGGCCAGAAATTTTATTCAATGTACACATACTGACAAGACCTTATAACAACAAAATCTCCGTTGCACTGGGCACATCCAAGACCTGGATGCTGGTTTCTAAATGGCATTCTCAGCTAAAGCAACTTCTTGGGAAAGCAGTTGATACCAGAAATGAAACAGAGAAGAGTGGGCTGGAGAGATGGTCCAACAGTTAAGAGCACTGATTGCTCTTGCAGAGGACAAGGATTCAATTCCCAGCAACCACATAGTGGCTAACAACCATCCCTAACTCCAGTTCTAGGTGATCCAATGACCCCTTCTGGCCTCCAGAAGCATTGCACGCACATGGTGTGCACTTTACATACATTCAGGCAAAACATTCATACACATAAAGTAAAAATAAAGAAATAAAAACAGAGAGAATTAACTTGGTATCTTACAATGCTAGAATGTCAGAGGTGTGCAAAGAATGACAGGAACATTTCATAAATCCTCACTTGACACATCTTCCATGGCCAAGTCTGGGGCAGCTTATTTTATGCATCAAATTTTTTTAAAAGAGAGCCAGGCGTATACCTTTAATCCCAGAACTTGGGAGGCAGAGGCAGGCAGATCTCTGAGAGATCAAGGCCAGCCTGGTTTACATAGTGAGTTCCAGGCCAGCTAGGGCTACAGGAAGACCCTGTCTCAAAAAGACAAGAAGAAAACATTTTAAAGAAACAATAATGGATTATAATTCATCCAGTAAAATGAAAATGCATCAGCACATTATCATGTAAATAAGAGTGTCAAGCTCTTCCCCACCATAAACTACCAAAAAGGAAACACAAAAATGGTGTTAATTAGAACAAATCACAGTTAAAGGTTATTTTAGACACTAGACTCCTCAAGGAAATAGTTACATGAACTACAGGATATTTACATAGTGTCGGAATATCTCATGGCAAATTACTTAATAATTTCAAAGCTAAGAGGGCAACTTTACAGTGAGAAACTTGGAAGATAATCACCTTAACATCCCCAGTACTGAGACAAACTGACTCCAGGTGCTTCTGACACAATGTGCCCAGGATGGGATAGCGTTTCTATGGAACTTCTATCAAAAATAATTCACCTGAATCTAAAACAGGGGAAAACAAGTTCACCTAAATTGGGGGATATTCTTTAAAATAATCAGTTTATTAGACCTTTCAAAAATATCAAGGTAGGCCGGGCGTGGTGGCACACGCCTGTAGTCCCAGCACTTGGGAGGCGGAGGTAGGTGGATCTCTGTGAGTTCAAGGCCAGCCTGATCTACATAGTGAGTTCCAGGACAGCTGGTGCTACAGGGAGGCCCTGCTTCAAAAAGACCAAAAAAAAAAAAAAATCAAGGTAGAAAACAAGCAAGCAAACAAGTATTCTGTACAATTACTATGTACTAAGCAGAAAGAAAAAAGTCAGGAATCTCTTCAAATATTTATTTCAATATTTACTGTTCAACAAATACTTATTCTCAAATATTTCATTTAAACATTTTTGAGAGTGGGGGGAAGGTGAATTTACTACCACATTCTTTTTGTAAGTTGTGGTCACGAAACTCATATGTCTCTTTCCTCATCTTCCCTGCCCCCGGTCAAGGTTCTCACTATGTAGCCCAAGCTGGTCCCCAATTTGTGATACTCCTGCCTCAACCTCCCAAGTTCTGGGATTACAGGCATGTGGCACTAGGCATTTAATTTCATTGGATGAATTATAATCCATTATTGTAGTTTCTTTAAAATTTTTTTTCTTTTGTTATTTTGAGACAGGGTCTCCCTGTAGCCCCAGCTGGCCTGGAACTCACTATGTAAACCGGGCTGGCTTTGATCTCTCAGGGCTAAGTTCAGAACTTAACAATAAACATTTAATATGTTAAATACATAAGGATCACAAAGCTGTGTACATCGCTTTCATCTTAACTCATTTATTAAACTATTAATAATATATTATTAATAGTTATCATTCTTGGAATACTAGCCAATCAAAATATTAAGAAATGCCGTCTTTGGATGGCTGACTGTAAGTGATCTTCATTTTTTTCTTTTTCTTTCTTTTCCTTCCCTTCTTCCTTTCTTTTTCATGCAGGGAACCAAATCCAAGGCTTTGCCCATTTTAGACAAGCCCTCTGAAACTGAACTACAGCACCAACCCTCTTCTTTAAAATATTATTTGTGCAACAAATATTTTTTATTCTTATAATCCAAAATAAATCTACAAAAAAATCTTACAGTAGATATGTTTGGAGCCATTCACAGCAAGTCTGAAAGGAAGGTAGAGTATATCAATTCACCACACACATGGGCAAGCTTATCATCTGTGATCTGGAAGTGTAACTGTCAGTCACGGATCTTCCCGGTTTACATAGTGAGTTCCAGGCCAGCTGGGGCTACAGGGAGACCCTGTCTCA